CTTGGGACTTAATATTCAAATTAACAGTCACTGAAATTTATTTCCCCATGTACCTCTTATCATCTCGTATATTCTTTACCCTTACTCAGGCTTTCTGATTCTTCTATTATCCTATTCCATTTAACTTTTAGAAATCTGAGGAAAATAAGCTAGGTATGTTTTTTTTTTTTTTTCATAGACATTTTCCTTAGTGTTTTGCACTATTTATTTATTCTTTCTAATTTGGAAATATACATGAATGAAATTCATTACTTTAGTCTCCCACAGAAACATTATCATTGAATTATACATATTTTAATGTTATGCTCTAGAAAGTTATCAAAAATGGATTTTTAAAAAATCTCCTAAAATGGATAGAAAAATTAGAAAGAGCCTCTTGACATGTTTCATAAAAATCAGTGTTGAAGACTTATCCATTCTATGTTTTCCAGTGATGCTTTGTAAAAAGATCTATGCTAAATAGTTCTAATATAATTTACCACAGAGAAACTTCATTTTTGGTCTCTGAATTTAGTTTTTTATATTTATATCAGAAAATGAAAACCTAAGTTCCACTTAACAAAGACCTAGGTTGATTTTGTTCACCTTTGTGAAGCCCAAGACAGTGTCTGCCTATGGAAGAAACTCTATAAATATTTGTGGAATAAATTGACTCAACCATAATTTCTCTTTTATCTCAGGGCTAAATGCAGTAACTGCAATGGTTTATGCTGCTGATATATTTATTTTTCTTAACAGTTCTGCTTTTATGTTTTCAATTTCTGCTTAAACAATCTCATTGAATATATTTTAATTATAAAACACTGAAAATCCTTTTTGGAAACTGGTGTAGAAAGTCATAAAATAAAATAGAGTTTACTTTCCAGATGATTAAAAAAACAAGAGTTGAACTCTTTTTTTTTTTAACATTTAACACCTTATAGAATTAAGTACATTATTACTAGATAAAGATGTAGTCCCATATTCTGAAGCTCAACCAGGCTTTTAAACAAAAAAGCAGCACAACTAGAAAATACATATACCAGATGAAGAGAAAAAGAATGGTTAAGCTTCATTTTCTTTTCATTACAAGACATGATAGGTAGGGATAAATATATATCAATACATATGTATAGTGTATGCATTACATTTACGTTGAAGGAAATGTTGCAGATTTCAAGAGGCATAAAACATTTGTTATTTTAAATTTCTAGAAGAAAAATTTAATATTAGCAATTTTAAATACTGGAAAGCCCTGAAGGCCCTGGCTTTGTGGTTTTATAAAATTTGTGTTCTTTTGAAACGTTCTGCAGGAGAATGCACTGTCCTCATCTAAGCCCACATCTTAGACTGATGAAGGGAAAGCAACAGTAAATTGTTTAGCTCATCTAGCAGGGAGCTTGCCACTAGGCCTTGAAACAGGTTCCCAAAGCCCTGGATTCAGTTCAGCAGCAACTTGGGTCTCATTAAAGGAGAGAGGACAGAATAGAACCCAAGTCAGGGCAAAGAGAAAAAAAAAATGCAGGCTGGGGACAATGTGGCAAATTCTTTGGTTTCCTGGAGCTGTCTACTTTTATGTGCCTGTGAAGATTATGGAATTCACATCTTCATGCAAGTCAGACACACTGTAGCCCATTGCATTGCACATGGTAATTTTATTTTAGGATTGCTTTCTTAGTTGGCATCTTTTCTTTCACTGCCTCACTTCATTCTTCCCCTTTTCTCTTTCTTTTCCCTCCTCCTCCTTCCCTCCCTCCCTCCTTGATCCCCCTCCTCTCTCTTTCTTTCTTTTGTAAACTCTCTAGATCTTGCTGGATTTTCTTTCTTTTAAAAAAAGAGGTATAATAATTTTGGTTTCTTTTTAACATTTGGGCTTTCTTTCAAGAAGATACCCATTTTTATACTGAGAAAGATGTGCTCTTGTATTGCTAACTTTGTAGGCTTGGAGGAAAAAAAGAAGGGAGTCGGTAAGGGTTTTAAATTTACAGTATCAATGACATAACAGGGAAATGAGAGTGTGTTAAGATCATTACTTCCCTCTGGTGGGAGAGTTTGTGACTAAGGAGGAAAGTGTATGTGGTATTAAATTAGCTGTGAGAACATAGCAAACTTCAAGGAATGTGAATCATTCAGTTTATGCTTTCCCTTCTTAGGAAGATTTTAGCCTGTGAAATGTAAATGAAGAGCACAATGACATATTGACTCTCCACTTTGTTCCTTTCATTCCCTCCCCCCCAAAGTCTATGTCCCCAAACTCAGGAAGATGCAAATACCACTGGAAGCTAAGAAATGAGGAGGAAATAAGTAATTTCTGAAGGGGTGTACACAATGTATTTTAATAAAAACCACTAATGAAAATAAAGCTATCTAAAGTAAATTCCAGGAGAATTTTAAGTATGCAATCAATGTTTAATTAGGAATTGTAAGCTTCAGTTGACATTAGTATTTCCGTTGTAAATTTGTATTGGAACAAGCATGTATTTTTAAACTTTTAAGTTTTCTTTGAGATTTAGTAGATAAATTTGGTGGTAAACTAGAAAATTCTGGACCACACTGAGTGAGTAAATAGTTTTCACTTGCATGTACTGAAAAAATTCTCTTTTATTTCTGTATATGGATATATAAAACCGGAATAATATTGAGAGAATGGTTAACTCTATCATGGTATTTATTGGTACAATTCATAAATGTTCCTATAATTGCGCATGATGCTAATCAACTTGAAGAGTTCTTTGTTTCAGGGAGAAAATTTTATGTTTTATTAGTCCAGTGATGGATGGTTTAATGGAGAAGGTTTTCATTGAATGTTATAGTTCCAAAAATTTTTTTCCAAGTGAATTGATTTGAATAACAGATATAAAATTATTTTCAGTGTAGTTATTAGTAGTGGCTTGGTCACTGTCAAGATATAGTTATTATTATAACAAAGTATAAAATTTATACTTGATTTATCCACAATTTTAAACATGTATTATTAGACTTAATTTTTTATTACTGTGTTTTATTATTTTTAATAATTATTTTCTGTGGAACAACATACCTCAGGTACATTTCTGAGAACTTGAGTACTGTATAATGTGACACAAATGTGTTATTTATCAGATAATTTAGATAAAAGGTGTGTATCATGAGATATTATTTTTAACTATTCTAGGCATAATTATGGTATTATAATTTTTAAAATAATGGTTGATCTTTCTGAGATGCATGTTTAACCATGAATGAAATCATACAATGTTTGGGTTTAATTTCACATACTATGCAGGTGGAGAGAGAGAATAGGGTAGGCATGGGAATGGATTAGTTATGAATCGATGTTACTAGGTTTGAATGATGAACACATGTGGGTTCCTTAAAGAAGACAGTCTATGTTTGAGTGTACTTCACATAAACTAGAAACGATTGACAAAAAGCAGTAAAATTAAAAAAAAAATGGTCCTCTGTATTCATGGGTTCCACATTCTAGGACTCAACCAATCATTGATCAAAAATATTTGAAAAAAAATCTGTGTTTTACTGAACATGTACAGAGTTATTTTCTTGTCATTATTTCCTAAACAATATGGTACAACTATTTACATAGCTTTTACATTGTATTGAGTAGTATAAATCATCAAGAAGCTGTGTTTAAGTTATTTGCAAATACTATCCCATATCATGTAAGGTACTTGAGCATCCTTGGATTTTGGTATCTGTGAAGTGATCTTGAAACCAATTGCTTATGGATATAAATAAAACATGCATATCTCTTAAAGATTTTATAATTAATGTAAGATCTATGAGGAGTATTGGGTAGAAGATCCATTTGTTTATCTCAGCTCTCCCTAAACTTATTGACCATTAGACTATTCTTTTCAAGGAATATCTGTTGACATATCTTTTGGATGCTTTGGGAAGGGGTATATAATGGCGAAACTAAAGTTTTTCCATGTATCATTGTTCATGATAACTCCAGGCTTTTGGCATATGAGAAGTTTTATTCACATGTTAGAAAATATTAAGATAAAATGTGAAAAAGTTTTTAAAAAGAATCCTTTTGTTCTTTCCAAATTCTGAGATATTTGGGAGATCTACAAATAAACATCTGATCAACTATTTTTCCAATTTCATAAGACTATATATATATATAAAATGTCAGAAATATTATTAAAGGAAATACAATTTCAAATGATAGTATATATTTGAAAGATAACAAGTGATGCCTTTTGATTTATTATTAGCCATAATAATTACAATTGCTTCTTAGTAGCTATATGGAAAATTCTATCTAAAAATATTTTACATGTCATTATCAACCTTGATACATTCATTTTCATGTTTTTAAGCAAAAAATTTATATAAAGTTTAAGAATCTGATAACATTCCAATTATATACCATACATTATTTCTCAATCTAAGAAAATTATACTAGGTAGAGCTATTCCTGAATATAAAATTCTATAGTTGCAAAAGATTTATATTTTTTTGCATAGAATTTTTTATGATTTTGCATGTCTGAGTAGCTATAGTCTAGTTTCTAAATAAATTAAAGGATTTTATTTTTTAAAATAAATTATACATACTGTTTTAATTTAGCATCTAAAGAGACAGCCTACATTACTATTTGTAGTTATCCTTTTAGCTTTTCAGACTAGCAAACTTTTTCTTTGTTGACTTTTTGTGAAAATTCAAATAAGAACATTTGCATTTATTATAATATACTGCCAAAAATTGCATTAATTTCCATCGATGCCCATTAATTTGATAAATGTTTTGTCATTTGTACCATTTGCACTGTCAAAACAATTTAATTATATCTTACTGACATTTTTGACAATTGCTCTAACTCTGGCAAAAAAAAAAGTATGTGTTATTTGTTTCAAGAAAAATTTATTCTTGTGTATTGAAAGCTTGAATTAAACAAGAGAAGACCAGCTCATATCATAAGTCTTGCAAGATTCAATCTAGGATAAATAAGAAACAATGATTTCTTAGAATTCTTACAGAAGTGCTCATGTTTTGTAGTATAAAATTTTATGTACCTGCATAATCTGTTCTTGCGTAATGCCCATCTTCAGATTTAGTAGTTGTAGTTGTGTTATCTGTGTTAAAAAATTAATAATAAAGATTGATTAACTGCCTCCTAAATATTTAATATCAAACATACCCAGCAGTATCTTCATTGCAGTTAAAGTTTTTTTTTTTTTTTTTTGTACTATAGTTCTAAGCAACCTGTGTACAAAGACAGATTTCCAATGCATATTTCTGCTTGGGAAAAATTAGGAAAATAATGCCAGTTTTCTAAACTTTGAGACAAGGAGATAATTCATAATTATAACTGAGATAAGTTGAATAAAGGAATAACAAATCAACCACCCCTCAAATGTTTGTATCTGAACAAAAAAATGAAATAGAACATTCCATATATCTGCTTTTTAAAATATACTTGAATATTTCTACTAAATCAACATAAAAATGGTGTGATTTGCTTTTAATCTCAGGATTCCTAACAAATTTTTAGATTATTTGTTAAAATTCATTTTGACTTTCTTTTTACTCTTTGCAACAAGAATGCCTGTTATCTTCTGAACATTATCTTCTGTGTCCATGATACTGTGACAATATAGTCCCATTATATAGAAAAAGCTGCAGACTGTTGCTGATAGACCCTCAAACACCTATAATCAACACAAACACTGTAGTAGACTACACCATCCATTGTAAATCAGAACTGTCTTTTGGAAATGAAATAGCTGCCTAATAAGGAGTTATCTTCACTTTTCATTTCTGCACAAAGACTAAAAACATTCTTTGAAATGAAGTTTGGTATGAACATTACCTTGACATCGACCCAAAGACATGACTTCAATTTTCTCCTGTTTCTGACATGATGCTTCTTTGATTTGACATGCATTATCATAAGATTTCCCATCAGAAGCACAGAGGGGATTGAAGTTGGTTTGAGAGCAGTCAATGTTGCACACACACCTAAAGGAAGAAGAGAGAAGTAAAAATATGTAACATCAATAGTATTGTTACCACACTATAAATAAAACACAAAGGGAAGAATTGCTAGTTTGGCAGAATACAGGTTGGTAAAATTTAATTGTATTCTTCCAGGGAAGCTCCTTGCACTTTTCTATCTGAGATGAGAAGAAATAGAACCAACAGAAAATAATTCAAAATATTGAAGAAGGGATAAAAAAGAATAGAGAAAACTTCAGAAAGTGATCATCAGTTAAGCTCTGCCTCTGGAACTTTTAAATTGTGCACATAAACTTCCAAGCTGATGTGTGCAGAATTTGAATAGGCCAAGAAATTCATGAAGCTGCTCTAGAGTCTTTAAACTGTAACCTTACTGTTCTTTCCTTTCTCGGGGTATCTCAATGTTTAAAGCTTGAGGAAATGACTCAGATGGCAGTTAAGAGAAAACAAGGAAATTATTTGGAATATAAGAATGAGTGAAGTTTCTTCAAAAGAAGAACATACATAAATTGTGCTAAATGGGAATCTTCAGTGGTCCTTAACATTTTTGGGTGTCACTAAACCTTTTGTGAATGAAATAAAATCTATAAATTGCTTCCTAGAAATTGGCAATACTCATATAAACAAGCACTTGTATAAAATTTCTGGGAACTCTTAGGCCCTTTGATCCATACCTATGGATTTTTTCCAAGATATACATTGCCTTTTTTCTACCTCTCAACTTAAATAATGAAATAATGAATGAGTAGATAATCATTCATAATGTTAACATTTTTTCAGCATCTAAACAATATTTGGTGAACTAATAAGAATTAGGTCATCTAAACTATAAAAATTAAACATTTTGAAGTATACTTTATATGATTTTTCAATGTTCTTCTAATTAATGCTGTAATTTATTTTGTTATTCAGAATATTGTGATTTTGGGTGTGTATGTGTGCAAATCAGTTACTGATTTAGAATATAAATTCATATTTAAAATTATTATTAATGTTTACATTATTTTCCTACAGAGATTATATGCTATTTGAAGATGTGAATCACACAGTTTGCTCTGAACATCTTACTTGAGCTGGGAATATAATGATAACAATAATAACCAGCCTTCGACATGTTGGCCTCTTAACACACATTGTTTTATTTTATCCTCACAACATTCACTTTATAGACCCAGATATTACATAACATCAGAACTAGTTGATTGTAGAACAAGGATCCATTTACAGATATGTTAAGCTAAAACCCAACCCTTTCCCCCTAATGCCACATGTTGTAAATTAGAATTTCCCAGATAAATACACAGATTCATAAGTAGAGTCCTGGGCTCCAGTAAATCTGGGTAGAGACTGGGATTTTGTATTTTTTAAGTACCTGACTCACTTTTGGGAAATCACTGCTTGATCTGTGTGTTTACTGAACCAGGGTGTATTTCATACATCATACATGTTAGAATTACCTAGATTGTTATTAATAGTGCTGGCAGGAAATGTGATCATGCAGTGACATAGTATTCTCTATTTTCTTTCTTCTTCTTCTTTTTGTAAAATAATTGCTGTAGGAGCACTTGATTATTTTTACATTTACCTATTTAGCAACACATAGCTAGGCCAGATGGTAACAACTCTAAATGCTTAACTAGTTGAGGAGCAGAGTTCCTACCTCCGCTATCATGTCAAGGAATATTGCTACCTGAGTTTAAGACTTGGCTTCTGAAAACGAGCTTGGGAGCTGCCTGCGTATTTAAAGAGCTTTTGCTTCTCCCAGAGAGAATCCAGAGAAGAGATAGTATGTCAGAGTGCCTTCACCATATGTATTCAATAAAGAAGGAATGGGGAGACTTGACTTTTTGCATTTTAAAAAAAAGTGGCTTGGGGCTGGGGCTGTAGCTCAATGGTAGAGTGCTTGCCTAGCACACGTGAGGCCCTAAGTTTGATCCTCAGCACCACAGAAAGATAAATAAATAAAATAAAGGTATTGTGTCCATTTACAACTAAAAACAAAAAATGTGGTTCATTTTGCCTTTAAGCCAGTTTAGGTTTGATTATGTGTCTAATTTTCAAGAGTCTTTTTAAGAAGATAAATGTTTAGCAGAAAGAAAAATATGTTGTTTCATCTACCTAAATAGTAAAGTAAAATATCAAGGGCTTTATGAATATCTCTGAATTAAGCCCAAAGAAATGCAGGAATGCATACCAAATATATCTGGACTCAAAATAACTGACAGTTCTGAAATATATTTGATATAACAAAATGATGAAATAAGAAGAGAAAGAGAAAGTTTGGTTGAATTGACCAGAATCGATATTTCAGTGAGAAAAATTCACTTAATTAAGCCATAATCCTAAATTGAACAATTATTCAGGATATTTTAATAAATCATCTTTCCAATTGGCTGACTCCTTTTATTTCCCCTTTATTTATTCTTCTTCTAGTTTGACTGATTTGGTGTTAGTGCCACAGAATTCCCACCACCCACAGTGTCCTCCCTCTCCTTTCCTAGCATTGCTTGCTTAGGGCCTCCTTTCAAGATTTGTTTTCCCTTTGGAAATTTCTGGCTCTTGCTGCTTCAAATAAAGCCTTTCAGGAAATGGATAAGAAAAAGATAGAGATATCTGGGACTTTTAGTCTCATCTCAAATGGAGGACAGAGATTCCTTGAGATGAAGTTAAGATGTAGTTTTCCTGGGATATAAGCTTCATGCACACGTGGGCCATTTTGGTCTTTTTCTATATTGCATACCTTCATTTTACCTCCCTCTTTCTTTCCTACTTGCTGGACTTCCAATATAATAAATAAATCAGTATAAAAGTAAACAACAACAACAACAAAACTTTCTCGAGAATGTCAGCAATCACCGGAAAAAGGAAGTCTATGAAGATTATTATTATTATTTTTAATATGTGGAAATAGCTTCAAGGATTTGCTAAAATAGCTAGAAAACTTCAGTTTGGGAAAGGAAAATGTTGTGACTGTATTACCAAGAACCCATCATTTGTTTCCATTATACCAATTAGCTCTGATTATATAATCACTTATTGTATTTTGTGCATCTAAGTCTGTTAGAAGCTTTATTAATTGGAAACACAGGCAGGGTTCCAAGATCATAGTCTAATATTTTAAGTCCACCTTGACCTCTATTGACACAGACTAAATAATCTTCTAATACTTTGGACACACTAAACTTTCCATGAGTACATGTTGTACAAATAACTAAATCAAATGAGTAACAATTTTGTGTTCTCAAAAAAGAGTAGCCACTATTACTGTCTCCATCTCATAGATAAGAAAATTGATTCTTGAAGAAGTCACACAGGTTTGTAAGGGGGAAAAGCCTATTTCAAATCTAGGCAGTTTGACAACAGAGCCAGCACTATTCTACATACTGAAAGTTGAAGAAAAAAATAGAACAGATATAGATTCCTATCATTAACAGATTAAAGGGATACTTTGTGGATAAACAAAATTTGAAACACACTATATTTATTTTTTGGAATATTTATTGTAATCTTATGAATTTACATTGACTCTTAGTCTCCATCAACCCAAACAAGTGATCCAACCTTTTTTATATCAACCTTTCTTTATATCACTTTTTTTATATTGGTGAATGTTAGTTTTAAGATTGTATAAATGAATAATTTATTCTTAGAATGAATAACCAATCTCATTGGCATTACCCTCACTACTTAAAGCATCAGTTCATCAGAAATTGTATCCTTAAATAAAATGCTATATAATGTTGGCTCCATGTAAAAACAGACGTTTAAGTACACATACAAAAAATACACTCCAATAGACTTTATCGAAATTACACAATTTGAGGGTTTTAGCAGTAAATCTTTTCCAAGACTCAGCATTCTTTGAAGCAGAAACTTTCTGAAAGTTTATATACAAAGAGAACAGGGGCTTTGCTTGTTTCTATTAGTGAATGGATTTGTGTATGTTGCGGTGGGGTGGGCCCACACCTACCTCCATGGTGGCATTTACTACACTGTTAATGTGCCTATTTAACAATTTATATCTTTACTTTTCCATAACCTTTTCAAGGGAAAGGCATATTACTTATCTTTGAATTCCTGGTATCCAGCACTTTGTATTGTATGGTCTTTGAGATTGCTTGTTGAATGGATTGCTGAGAGAATGGCCAGATGGAGTTGGAAGGAGTACAAGAAAACAGTCCCTGTGCTAGACATCAGCACTGCCGAGGAACATTTTGGGATATCCTAAATTAAATTTAAAGGGACTGGAAGGGGTGGGGTGGGGTAACTAGAGGATGGTAGTCAGTAAAGGAGTGTGGAAATATAAACTTGAAAGCTTGATTCAGACCCCCGTTTACTGAATTTCAGGTGCCACTGCACCCCACTTTTGAACTTTCTCAACTATTAACCTTGACAAATCATAAAGCACCAAGTACTTTTGATGAATGAATGGACTTTCCATCTATCCCAAGATTTTTCCTGCTTCAGGTTATCCTACCCCTTTCATCAATAATTAATGTAAATACAGTGCAAACAACTTAAACCTATTTCCTCAGATTTCATTTTAAAAACACTCTTCACTTTATAGTTAGAAGACAGCTCTAATTGCTCTCTAACCTTGTTGCTGTTACTAGCTAAGCTATCCTAGGACCTAGACCTTCCTTTTTTCTTTTTTTTCTCTCAAATGTACATAATTGCTCAATAATTCCTCTGATTTTAGAGAACTCTCTGTCTCACGAGTTTTGGTTTAACAACAACTAAGAGAGATAACTGGGGATATAGTCATGAAAATTCTCATCTACTTTTGTGCTACTTGGCACACGTGAGGCCACCAAGGAGATTGCAGCTCCTAAACAACTAAGGCTCACATCTTCCTTTCTTTGTCTTTCCACAGCAAGGCTACTGGTTCTTTAGGACCTCAAACACTTTGGTCTCTCATTGTGTCAAGGAGATGCTTCCACTGGCCAGGCCACTACTTATATTTTGTAATCTTTAGATACAGTTTTTGGCACCACTATAATTTA